GTGCCACCGGGGCTCCGTGTGTCAATAAGGAAGAGCATAAATAATAGCTCACAATTTTTAAAAACATTTAGCTAAACAATAGCTGTAATCCTATTTTTTTGAGAGAGGGCCCACAGGTTTACTGGATGGTCAAAGGGTGAGAACCCCAGCCCTAGAAAGACAGACATTTTAATAAAGGGCCCTTGGGCTCAGCCTGGGCTGGCCGGGTCACCAGAACAAAGTAGACATGTGGCACACATGGGCTGTCATTATCATCACTACTGGGTCTCAGGGTCCTAGACAGTCTACAGGACTCATTCACAGTCAACCACTCGAACTGCTACAGGGCCTTCAGGTGTTAATCTCTAATATTCTCTCCCCAGGAAGCCCTCCACGACTGCCCAGACTGGGGCAGGTGACCTCTGGCTCCCCCATTCCAGCCCTGCCCACTCTAGGTCCTCACTTCCTACAGATGGGTCTTTCTCCCCCACCACACACTGTTAGCCCATGACGGCAAGCTGAGAGCTGTCTCGGTCACCACCATGTCCCCAGTACCACCAGCACACAGTCAGACACACAGCAGGTATCAAAGCATATTTGTTACGTGGATGGATGGATGAGCTTCCACATGACCCTCGGAGCGCAGCGAGGATTTTGTGGAACCAGCCCTGACCTCACACAGACCCAGGGCTGCTGATGGAGCCTCGAGAGCGAGCAGAGGAAGGCCCAGCTGGCCTGCAGCGTCTGAGGCTGGCAAAGGTGAGCAGGGGATGGCCAGGCTGGTAGAAGAGACAGAGAGAGCATTACAGATGAGACAGGGAGGTCGGAGGGGGGAGATGGGAGAGAGTTCCCTGGTGGGAAGCACGGGAAGGGGCAATGAGGTCGAACTGAAGGGCTTGGGTGAAGCAGACATAAGGGAGAGCTAACTCAGGGGCGGTGACACACCAAGAACTTGACCTCCTTTCTGGGGCGTCCATGCACCCCTGGGTCCTAGGTCTGATTTGCTCCAGCTTAGAAGGAAACTGAGGCTCGAGGTCCCTCCACACACAAGGGACTTTGTGAGTGGCAGAGCTCCCTGTCTTGCTGGACTGGGAGCCCTGGGAGGGCAGGATTAGGGCCGTCTCAGTCACTGCTGGGTCCCCAGCACCAGCCACACAGGGCCAGCACCCTGGGGCCCTCAGCCCCG